AAAGTGAGTAATCAGTATATCGGGAAATGGAACAGGGACTTGCCAGGGAGTTCCAGCAGATGACACGGCCAGGACAAGGCTGGCTAGCGGGTAGGAATTTAGTTGTTGTCTTCTGAATGGCAAGATGAGCCAGACTTCGGTGCTCCGCAGGGGGAAACTTCCTGGCAGAAAGATGAGACTGTGCAAAGACTGGAGATTGGAAGAAAGCCCAGCAATTCAGAAACCATGAAGACCAGTGTAGCTAATGCCTTGTGACAAAGAGGTGAGTGGTATCACATGGTACTACAGAGGTAACTAGGGCACTGTGCGTGGAGGGTCTTGCAGGCCGGAGTAAAGAGTTCTATTTTATTTATTTATTTATTGGTTTTGGATTTTTTTTTTCTTCTTCTGGTACCAGGAATTGAACTCATTACCTTGTGCTTGCCAGGCAGGCGCTTTTGCCACTGAGCTAAATCCCCAGCCCCTGGTTTTGGATTTTTTGAGACAGGGTCTCGCTATGTAGTTCAGTTTGGCCTTGATCATGTTGTCCAGGCTGGCCTCAAATTCACAGCAATCCTCCTGCCTTAGCCTCTAGAGCACTGGCATTACAGGCATGCGCCACCATATCAAGCTAAGAGTTGTGTCTTATTATAAGGATAACAAGAGCTGGGGTTTAGCTCAGTGGCACAGTGCTTGCCTAGCAAGCGTGAGGTCATGAGTTCAACTCCCGGTACTGGAAAAAAAAAAAAGCTAAAAACCAAGGATAATGAGAAAGTATTAGATGGGAACATGAATATTCCTCCTTAGTTTTTCCTTCGAAGGGAAGAAATTTATGCTGCTTCCCCAGAGGGAAGAGACTAGAGAAATAATTCAAGCTTTTCTGTGCCTTATCTAGTTGAAGAATTCTGGAAAAGAAAACGAGATCACAATATTAGTTTTCTTTTTCTTTTTCTTTTGGCTTTTTTGAGACAGAATCTTGCTATGTAGGGCAGGCTGGTCTTGAGCTCTCTTATGTACCCCAGGCTGGCCTCAACCTCACGGCAATCCTCCGGCCTAAGGCTGCCAAGTGCTGGGATTACAGGCGTGGGGCACCATGCTGGACAATAGTAGTTTCCATAGCATGGTAGGTCACGGTATTTCTAAGTACCAAGATGTTGACTTTTTTGGTGTAAAACATTATTTAAAAATTTAAATAGCATGAATCACTAATATCGTTAGATACTTATTTACCACATTAAAATGTTTAATGGCACATATTTGGTTGATTAAAAAACATTCTTCTATACTTTCAAAATTCTTCTAAAAATCAACCAACAAAAGTCAGCTGACAATTCAAACTTTAAACACAACTCTTACTGTTATTCAAAGACTTTTCACACAGTGGAATATGAACATGACGTTAATAGATATTAGTCAGCTCCTATGAAACTAAAGAGGCCACCGCTCATGACAGCTGCACATAACATTTGAAGAGATTTGGTCTCCAGGCAGAGATGCTATCTCAGCTGGGATGTTATGTGCTCCTGGACTGTGGAGTGATGAGTGTCACCCAATATGAAAGACACAGCTGTATGTGTTTCTTCTTTTCTAAAGTAGTGATATGGACTTGCCATAATTTCATCATAAATGGCAGTGCTTAGCCGGGTGTGGTGGCGCATGCTGTAATCCCAGCACTCCGGAGGCTGAGGCAGGAGGATTGCTGCGAGTTTGAGGCCAGCCTGGGCTACAAAATGAGCTCAAGGCCAGCCTGAACTGCATAGCGAGACCCTGTCTCAAAAAGACAAAAAAAAAAAGGTAGTGCTCAAGCACTGCTCTTGGCATCATTAGATTATCATGAAGTGCTTTGAAAAGCAAGTTTGGAGAAATCAAATTCTAACTTCTCGTAAAGAAAAAATAACCCAGAGAAATGTTAGGAGAAGGTAAAGAAACAGAAGAACAACTAGTGAGCAAGTAATGGGTTCATATTGTTAACATGAACAATATGAAATCTTACATAGCTAAATGCTTATGCAAATTGACAGACATCACTGAGCCGGGTGTGGTGACACATGCTGTAATCCCAGCACTTGGAAGGCTGAGGCCTGAGGATCTTGCGAGTTTGAGCCCAGCCTGGGCTACAAAATGAGCACAAGGCCAGCTTGAACTGCACAGCGAGACCCTCTCTCTCTCTCTCTCTCTCTCTCTGTCTTTTTTAGGCAGGGTCTCACTATGCAGTTCAAGCTGGTCTTGTGCTCACTTTGTAGTCCAGGCTGGTCTTGAACTCACAACGATCCTCCTGCCTCAGCCTCCTGAGTGCTGGGATTACAGGCATGTACACCATGCCCAGTGAGACCCTGTCTCAAAAAGACAAAACAAAACAAATTGACAAACATCAAATTATATACAGAACCATAAGTAGCACACTATTTTAATAGATTGAGAGACATAAATAAAAGTATTCCAAAGGTCTCTCTTACTGGTAGAACTAGCAAGAAAGAAAACATCTTTTTGTTATTATTTTGTCGAGATAGGGTCTCATTATATAGTCCAGGCTGGCCTTGAACTCTTTTTTTGTTTGTTTGTTTGTTTTGTTTTTCTCCGGTACCGGGAACCAAACTCATGACCTTGCGCTTGCTGGCCTTGAACTCTTGAGCTCCTGCCTCAGCCTCCTAAGTGCTGAGATTAGAGGTGTGCACCACCACACCTGGCTGACACATTTTAATGGAAAAAATAATTGGAATATTTTCAAGTAATGGAAGAGAAATGTGTTTGACTATTAGTGCTAGGAAGGAAAGGGAATTATCAAAGGAATGGGAAAGTATAACAGAATTTCCAAAATAACAATGGAGCAAGGGATGGAATTACTAGTAACTTGATCTAACCAGCAAAAACACAGAATGAATAGAGTATATACAATATGAAATAGGACATGAAATCAGGATCAAGCCTGAAACTCAGTAGTAGAGTGCTTGCCTGGCACAAACAAGGTCCTGGGTCTGCCCTTCAGGACCACACACACACACACACACACACACACACACACACACACACACATGAAGTATCACTTATTCCACTAGTGGAATCAAAATCAATAGAAAAGGGAGCATACAAAGAGGAGGAGCTGGGATTGTGTGTGCACACCTGTAATCCTAGCTACTCAGGAAACTGAGGCAGGAGGATCAGAAGTTTGAGGCCAGCCTGGGCAACCTAGTGAGAACCTGTCTCAGAATAAAAGGGCTGCAGATGTAGCTAAGTGGTAGAGTTACATGTTCATTTGCCTTGCCTCTGTGAGGTCCTGGGTTCAAGCCTCACTACTGCAATAAATGAAAAAAATAAGTAAACATGTAAAAGTGCTGGGATTACAGGCGTGCAGTCAGCTAGCCAGTGAAAACAACCACACAAATAAACAAAATAAAGATTAAAATGGTTAAAAAAATGGTTGGCACACATAGAAAAGATACTCAATTTTACTTTTTTTTTTTGGTACAGGGAATTGAACTCAGGATCTTGTGCTTGTCAGGCAGGCGCTTGTGCCTCTGAGCTAAATCCCCTGCCTAATATTCAACTTTAAAGTAAAATATATAGTGCAAAATAAAAAGAACAGACATAATCTTCTGCTTATCAGATAGGCAGAAATTAAAATGTTGACAAAACCCAGTATGAGGGAACGGGGAGATGGGCAACATCACATACTGTAAGGTCATATAAGGTTTTTAGAGGGAAGTTTGGTAGTGTAACATTTTATTTTTTATTTTTTTGTCTTTTTTAAGACAAGATCTTGCTATGCAATTCAGGCTGAGCTTGAGCTTACTTTGTAGCCCAGGCTGGTCTTGAACTCGCAATGATCCTCCTGCCTCAGCCTCCCAAGTGCTGGGATTACAGGCGTGCACCACCACCCCTGGCATTAGTGTAACATTTTAATTAAGCTAATGTTTTAGTAATTCTGCTGCCAGTCGGTTCCCTTGGGAAGGTTCACAGTGATATGTACATATACATGATGATGTTTGTCAGAGAATTTTTTTTTTTTTGGTAGTGTTGGTGATCAAACCCAGGGCTTTGTGCATATGAAACAAGAACTCTACCACTGAGCCACATCCTCAGCCCCTGTCATAGAGGTGTTTATGAAGCAAAATATTGGAAATAGTTCAAGTATATGTAATTAGTTAAATTCTAGACTGCATGCAGTGTAATCTCCTGCAGTCATTAAAAGATGTCATTTATGCTGTCGAAATGTAAAAACAGAAAAAGCTGTCCCATTGCTCTCTTAGGGACCCCGATTTTTAGAGCTCAGTTCTTCACTTAATACCCACCCACCCCTTCCATACCCAGGGGTCTCTGCAGGTTTTGCAGGAAATCTCTGTAGGGAAGACAGACCAGAGAGTCTAGTGTCTGGAACAGTTTTATATGTGAATTTATTTATTTATTTGTTTATTTACCCTTTTCTAGACAAGGTCTTACTATGTAACCAGGCTAGTCTTGAACTCACTAGGGAGCTCAGCCTGGCCTTGATCTCCTGCCTCAGCCTCCCGAGTGTTGGGATTACAGGTGCGTGCCATCACTGCTGGCTACAAGGTGTATTCTTGTCCCTCGTTCCTCCCTTCTCTCTGCATTTGGCCGGCAGGGATCGAGCCGCTTTCTTCCACCAGGCCTTGCCATCAGGCCGTTTCCGCCTTGCAGTCAGCCAAGCGGGGACTGAAACCATGAGCCTAATAGACATTTCCTCCTTTAAACTGTGGGTGTCATGCATTCGTCCCATTGAGGGACCTGGAGAAGGAGTAGAGGTGGGAGCGGGGAGAGATCAGGGCTCAGACAGGCGGGTAGCAGAGAGATGGTGAGGCAGGTAAGCAGAATGTCGCCCAGACCCTCCCTGCTATGAAGGTTTTTTGGGTAAGGCTGGGCGTTGGACCCAGGGCCCCCCACATACCAGGCAAGTGCAGTGTCACCGAGATACACCCTCAGTGCTCACCCCAAGTCCCGCCTCTGCAGAGCCCCCTGTTCAGTAGTGTCTGTCACCAAGGGGTCGTCCACAAAGGACGAATGAATGAACGAAAAGGGAGACATGGCTTTATTGTGTTGAGAGGAGTACAAAGTTAAGAACCAAACCCACCTGGAACCTTGGTGGCCCCCATTCCTCCAAGTGTCCCCATGTTCACTACATCTTTATGGACCCTCAAGTCTCCATAAGTCTGCACAGCCATGAGCTGGGAGGGTGACCTGTGCCTAGTCCGCGGAGATGGGAGCTCGAGAGTCACTTCCCGCTGGTCCATGCTCAGCTGCCCGTGGGTGTCCAGACCAGAGTCCCTGTGGTTCCGGGTGGAGCCCTGCATGTGTGCCCTTGACTCAGAGCAGACCTCAGAGCTCCAGCTCCAGGCTTGGCAGGCAGAAAAGAGCTTGGTGCTGTCATCTGGGGAGTGCCGCTGTCCTGACCTCTAGGGATGGCAGGACCAAGACCGAGGTGTCACCAGGTCCCAGAAGGTTGTCTGTGCCTGAGAAGGATACAGTGCGGAGGAGATTGCTTCTGGTGAGCCATGTTGTACATCTAAGGCGTGGGAGCCCATTCCCCCAAGCCAGGCCCTGACTCTGACCCTGGTTTTAAACCAGAGAAAACGTGCTGTCTGGTGGGTCCTCTTGATGGGTCAGTGGTGAGGGTGTATGTGTTCTCTTACCTGGGGCAGAAGACAGTGCCGCCGTGCATACCACTCCTGGCAGTACAGGCTGACCTGGATGCCCTGGCCCAGGAAGAGCAAGGTCCACATGAGCACGTTCCATGCAGGGCCTGTGTGGTGGTCATTCATCGTGAAATTCAGTAGCCCTGATGTGGGGAAAAGGTTGTCACTCCAGCTGCAGGTCTCTGTGCCCCGCCTCCCCCTTCCTTCAGGCACTGGGAAGCCATGGAACAAGGAAGCCCTGGGATCGTGCCTTGCTGGCTCCCAGCGCTGCCCCCGTTGATGCTCCCAAGGCTCTTCCCACCCTGTCCTCAAGCCCAGCAGCTTCCCCATCAGTCTGGGATCCCCAGGGGCTGGACCTTTGCCTCCTCCCTCTGGCTGGCTCCCCTCCAGTGGTACAGAGGCCGAGCTCACCCCCAAAGACAAGGAAGAGCATCAGCATGACGGGGTAGAAGAACCCCAGGACGAAGCAGAAGATGTACTCGTGCACCACCGCGGAGACCAGGAACACACCCATCATGACTGCGCCCCGGGCCCGGCCACCAAGGAGCTGCAGGGCAAGGGCAAGGGAGAGAGGGAGAGTGAGTCTCCCCCAACCCTTCCACGAAGGGTTCCCTCCTTGGGGAAGCCAGGAGGGAGTGTGGTGAAACGGAAAGAATACGGGACCCGCGTCAGAAGGGCTGACATCTGTCTCACTTAAGAACAATGTATTAGCCGACTGGGCCTTAGCTGCGCTTTATAAATGGGGATATAAGAGTCCTATTTTTTTTGTCTTTTTCTTTTTTTTTTTTTTTTTGAGACAGGGTCTCGCTATGCAGTTCAGACTGGCCTTGAGCTCACTTTGTAGCCCAAGCTGGTCTCGAACTTGCAACCATCCTCCTGCCTCAGCCTCTGGAGTGCTGGGATTACTGGCGTGCGCCACCACGCCCGGCGATATAATAATCCTTACTCCTCAGGGCTGCTGCGCTGATTAGATGTGTGTAACAATCCCTGGTAACTGAGAATTGTTGCGTACATGTTCCTTGGAAGGCTAGGAAGGGAAAAAGAGGTTGTAAGGCAGACTTCCTGCACACTGCGTTGGGTAGAATGGGGACAGGTTAAGTCAACAGAGTTCTTGGGTCTGGGCCGGGCAGGTGGTGCAGAGGCAGGAAAGGAGAGGGTGCCCTGGACAGCCCCCATTAACAGAGGGAGTGAAGGGTCTGCAGCGCCTGTACCCACAACGTGTCCTGATACACGTAGCTGTAGAGCCAGTCGTGGACCACCACATTCCACGTGCGGTAGTAGTTGGAAAAGGATGTTGAGTTCCACCAGTCCTGTGGAGGGAATGCGGCTGCATGAGGGAAAGGAGATGAGCATGCCAGGCCCCAGCTTCTCCCAGGGCTCCCTGCTCCTGACGCCCACACTTTGTCCCTCTGTGCCCCAAAAGGGCTGGCTTCTGGCTGAATAGAGAGAGCAGCACTGTCCCAGCTCCCTCTTCGGGACTAGGGCCTCCCCCTCCTAGGAGAGGAAGAGTCCATTGTTCCATCCACACAAATGCAGTTAGCCCTGGCCGTTGGGCAGTGGAGGGGTGGCATCAACCCACACCTAGAGAGGCCTGCGCTGCTCACTGCGGGAGGCCATACACTGCGAGGTGACCCCCAACACAGCCACCATCTCCTCGGACCCCTTCTCCGCCTGCCCTGAGTCCAGCTCGGCCGCGGTCCGGGCCCCACCCGGTAGAACATCCTGTCTCCAAATCGTAGCATCTCAGCGAAGGCATTGAGCCAGCAGTGCAGGAAAGCGAAGAAGATGAGCAGCAGCATGAAGATGCCTGGCGGTGGGGATAAGGCTACAGTCAAACCTTACCAAGGAGTCATCAGTCATTCCCATATTTGTTAATTTATCCATTTGCTTGTGAATATGTATTTGGATCTACTGCGTGCCAGATTTCGGAAATAGAGATAAATCACGCAGTCCCTGATCTTGGGAGCTCACAGACGGGCTGGAGAGACACACAGAGACAGAGAGAGAGACAGAGAGACACATCCCATTATCTATCAAGATCAGTGCAATGAAAATGAGGCGTGGCAGCCGCTGAGGTGCTTGGGAGTGCAGAGGAATGGGTAGGTCACCATAATTGATGGTTAAACAAGGTAGGCTTAGCCAGGCGAGGTGGTGTGTGCTCAGGAGGCGGAGGCCACTTGAGCTAAGAAGTTCAAGGCCAGCCTGAATGGGGCAACGATGTCTTGAAGAAGGCCAGATGATGAGGAGAAGGAGGAGAGGGATTGATAACAAGAATTAGAAGAGGAGCGGGGAGGAGGAGGAGGAGAAAGGCTTCCCAGAGGAGGCTAACTCATCCATAGACCACTGAGAAGGAACTAGATTCATGCTGGAAAATGGGGCAAGAACATTCCAAGCAGAGGGGCCCATATGTGCAAAGGCCCAGAGGTATGGAAGCATGTGTCTTTCAGGGGACAGCAGGGCTTATGGCAGGATGAGAAGATGGTCTGGGGCCGTCAAGGCCAGACAAGGGTTTAAGCTTTCTCTGGACATGCCCACAGTGGGGAATCTTTGGTGTCTGAAGGAGCACAGGGAATGATTACTTCATTAGGGAAATTCACCTGGGAGTCAGCGGCAGGTGCAGATGGGAGAGGGGCGTTTCAGATGTCGGGACATAGGTTAAGAGGTTGAGCTGAGATGGTAGCAGTGAGCACACACAGGAGTGGACAGATGGGAGAGGAAATGCAGAAGGAGGAGGCACTGCCACTGATAGCAGGCACAGAGCGAGGTCTTGCCTGCCAAGCCTTCCCTGGGGTCAGTCCCCTGTCCCGCCTCAAAGGGCTTACCTGGCAATGTGGCGTGCAGAAATGAGAGCACCAGGGCGCGGGTGCTGAAGGGCTCCCGGCTCATGTTGGCAAAGACAGGGACACAGAGGCGACTCAGGATGAAGCAGGCATAAAGCACACAGCACAGGGCCTGCAGAGGGAGCCAGGGTGCACAGCTCTGAGGGGGCGCTGGCTCCCCACTCTAGACTGGGCTCTGCCCCAGCCTCTGCCCTGTCCTCCCTTAGATCCAGCCTCTTTCCCTCCCAGGCATCTCCTTCCACACTCCTGGGAGTAACCCCAGCCACTGTGAGTCACAGATGGCCAACTTCTTCCCCGTCTTCTGACCTGGGCAAAGTTCTTGGCCACATAATTCCACCTGATGCTGGAAGTCCTGCAGCAGCAATAGGATTAAAATGTTTCTCAGTCTTTTCTGTCACTCTCTGCTCAGGCCTGCAACCCGCTCTCTGCATGTCCTCCATTGCTCAGGCCTGGTGGACTATCTGGGGAGATGTGGGTCTAGAACACTTTACATAACTTGGGGCTGGGGATTTAGCTCAGCGGCAAAAG